CCCTTAAGATTGTATTAGAGTATATTTGTTATTTCAGATCAGATAGGCATTTAAATTGCAGTCCATTTTGCTATAGCCAAATTAGTTTTAGGAATTGTTTCATTCTTATTTGTTACATGATGCCCTATTACATCCATTCCAAGAATGTTTTCCAAATTGAGATGTATAAGGCATTTAGCCTTAATGGGTAGTCTATTATCAATTGTTAGGAATCTATGCACCCATGTCCCTGGGGTTAATTTTCCTCCTAATCCCTTGATTAGTCCTGTTTTATTGTCAAGGTTTTCTAAATTAGTACGATGCCCTTGTATGATTGTCACTTGTGATCTTGTATCTAACAACGCAGTATTATATATAGTATTTTTATTTATAAAAAGGTTTTTATTGATATGGCCACTGTAACACATGGGTGATTGTCTCTGGCTTGGGCCAGGAGACAGACAAGGTCAAGTCCCTCTATGGGCTCATCAGTCTTCCTCTCCTTTGCCTACAGTGGCTTGTCTATGAATGGGATTAGGTTTAATAAAAGGGTTATTATTTATAGTAAATGGGTTATTAGATGTATATGTGGGTTTGTTCCCCCGAAAAGGTTGGTTATCCGTTTCTTTGCCACTGTAAGTACCTTCTAGTATCTACATTGGGGTTTTTACTTCTATAACTAGGATTAGAGGGTGGTAGTCTAAATGGTCTAAATAGCCTAGGCCTGATAGATTTTGTTGTCAGGGTTATTTACATTAGGTGTAGGCCTGTTTTGTCTATATGCATTACTGTTAAAGCTATCGCTTTTATCTTGATTCAGTTTCTCAGCTGTTCTTATCAAGTCAATCAGTTCTCTTGTGTTCCTGGTGCCTGTAAATACCTTAAATAATGCTCTTCTGTCCAACGGGGTGCAGCTTTTAGGATGACACTTTTAATTGTTTCTGTTGCTTCTGCATGTAGCAGTGAGGGTGTCTGTCCCCTATCAGAAATCATAGTCAATAGTCCTAATTTCATTATAATGTTAGTAGCTCCCCCTGCTGTTTTCCATGCAGGTGCTTTAAGGGATAAAATATTGGGTATAGACCATCTTATTCTCCAGGCTGCTGCTATCCAGTCAAACAAAAGTCTTTGTATATTAACATAATTTTCTCCAAATACTCTAAGGTGTTGACTAAATTTAGCATCAGTGGTAACGGGTTCGAGTTGCACAACCCTTGCTCCTGTGAGGATCAGGTTATGTCCATCTTTGGACCATAAATCAAATAGCCACTGGGTTTCTGTGTCTGAACCAGTTTGTGGGAATTCCATTCTAATTTTTGTCATTTCTTGTCTCGTATAAGCTCTCTGTTCAGTGCCTAACTGGTTCCAAATTATCATTAGTGTGGTTTTGCTTATTCTCATGGGCCTGGCTTCCAGTGGATTAAATTTACCAGGGCAAAAGGATTATAATAATTATTGTCCTTAGGGTGTGGGTTTGTGCCCGTAGAGCAGAAGTGGATTTCCTCCACTCTAGAAATTACTTTTTTGTGCTCATGTTTTCCTTTCTGCCTATTAGTATCTATGTTACTTAATGCTCCTAATAAGAGCACTGGAATTTCTTCCTTATTTGCTCTTTTTAATATAGGATATAACTCACTGGGTTGGGTGATCAGGCCAACATCCGGATTTTCCTTAATTCTAAGTTTTTTCTGGACTAAGTATTCAATAGATCTCCAGGGATCCTCAGACATTAATATATAATCCATTCTACCCCTAAACCACCTCCTGAGTAATTTTGATAAGGTTAATGGTGAGGCATATTTGCTATTGTCCTCCTGCCTTTCAAAACAGTGTTCAAAATGTTTTATTACAGAGAAACTTAATAAAACATTCTAAATCATTTACAATATGGTAAAGCAGTATTAAGATAATTACTGTGGCTAGCGTTAGCATCCAAACCATAACAGCACTATCATTCTGTCTACTCACAGGCTGTTTATAACTTCAGTAGGATGCCATAGATGCTAAGTATACACACATACCTGTTTTACTGCACTTTGCTTTATTGCACTTCACAGACTCAGTGTTTTTTATAAGACCCCCCACCAGCAAAAAGATTATGACTCACTGAAGGCTCAGAGGATGGTTAGCATTTTTAATTAAGGTATGTACATCGTTTTTTTAGACATAATGCTATTGCTCACTTAATAGACTACAGTATAGTGTAACCAAACTTTTATATGCACTGGGAATCCAAAAAATTTGTGTAACTTGCTTCATTGCAATATTCACTTTATTGCGCTGGTGTGGAATGGAACCCACAATATCTCCAAAGTATGCCTTTATTAGGTTTAAATTTTGTCAATCCAGTAGTGGGCTTTACCAGATTTTGGTCAGTTATAAATTTGGCATAATTTCTTAACCTGTATTTCAAATTTGACATGGAGTATGGGTACATCCCACAGCACTGACCAATATTAATTATTACTTTGGGTTGGGTTGCCGACTACACCAATTGTTTTGTTTGCAAGGCAAAAATTATGCTTAGAGACTGAGATTTTCTTTGCCAATAATTTATTTAACACAGTGTCACTGTGGGAATTATAATTTCACAAGCCAATAATATACGGGATAATGTCTCTTAATAAATAGATAAAGAAATCACATGCTCTAATAATAGATTAATCCCACTATTGTTCTAGGCTAAGGGGAGATGAAAGAAGGAAAGTCTAAATTTAGTTTGAGGGACCCGCCCAGTGGCGCAGCGGTTAAGTTCACACGTTCTGCTTTGGCGGCCAGGGGTTCGCCGGTTTGGATCCCGGGTGCGGATATGGCATCACTTGGCACGCCATGCTGTGGTTGGTGTCCCACATATAAAGTAGAGGAAGATGGGCACGGATGTTAGCTCAGGGCCAGTCTTCCTCAGCAAAAAGAGGAGGATTGGCAGGAGTTAGCTCAGGGCTAATCTTCCTGAAAAAAAAAAAAAAAATTTAGTTTGAGGTGTACCTTTCTACGAGTTGATTCTTGGGAGAATCACTGTAGCCAACCGAGAGCTGACATCCAGCTTCCAGAGCAAAGTGAAAGCCCCTTGTCGCTAGAGCACATTGGTAGGGATGAAGGCAGTGGTGCTGGCGGGCAAGATGACGTTCTTCACGAGGCTGCTGCAAGGTTTTCCCCACTGCTGGTAAAGAGTTGCCCTACCACAGCGGGAGCTGATGCCCGAAGGTCTTTGGAGAGCTGTTTACATCAGCCAATAGTTGTCTTGCTCAGACTGAACAACCTTGAGTAAGTCCTCACAAACCCTTGGTATTTAAAGGCTAAACGTCACCCAGCCACAGTTGCTCCTCCCCGTGTTCTTATCCATAAACCCCGAACAGCACTGGTCAACAGCTGAGCTACTGACTGCTTATCGATGACAACAGATGTCAACGACAACATCCTGATACAGCTTCCTCAATGTGAACAACTTCATTTAAGCCATAAACAAGTGGGTTTCAAATCATATCAAACCAATACCTGACAATATTGGATTAAGGAGGGCCCTAAATCCGATGAAAGTGTTTTTATAAGAGGCAGAAGAAGAAACTCAGAGGAGAATGCCATGTTGCCCTGTGAGGACAGAGGTAGACGTTGGAGTGATGCATCTACAAGTCAAGCAACATCAAGGATGGCCAGCAACCACCAGACGCTAGGAGAGAGGCATGGACATTTCTCCCTCAGTGCCTCCAGAGGAACCAACACTACCGACACCTTGATTTTGGACTTCTGACCTCCTGAACTGTGAGAGAATCAGTTTCTGGTGTTTGAAGTCAGCCAGCTTGTGGTAATTCGTTATGGCAGCCCTGGGAAACAAATATATCCAGCAAAGTGACAATTTGATCATTTCTTTGTTCATGGTGCCGTTCACTTCCACCTTTGCACCAACTGTGTCCTCCCTTTGGAGGGCCTTCCCACCCACAGGCCCAGGACCCTTATGCCGCCCCAGGGTTGCCCAAAGACCTTCCAACAGGGCTGGTCTGAGCAGCCCTCCCTAACCAGCTTTGCCATGTCTCAATCCTTTTAACCTGTCATCTTATTTGGGAACCTAATTTTTATTCTCATCACAGTGTTAAGAACTGGCAACATATTAAGGCAAACTTCTCAAATTGTGGCAGTAGATTGGGGGCATGTGAAGGCACCACACAAACATGGATGGAGAGGATATTCCACGTATGGATTTTTAAGATAAAAATGAGGACTTCAAAGACGTTTTATGCCTGCGGCCATTCAGAGCTATTCGTGCATCCAACAAGATTTTGCTCAGTATCTATAACGAGCCACACACTGTTCTCAGCACTGGGGATAAGCAGTGAACAAGGTACAGAAGGTTCTCGTTCTCCTGGAGCTTATAGTTTAGTGAAGAGAAACAGAAAACAGGTAAACAAGATCATTTCAGAGGTGATGTGTGCTCTAAAGAAAACCAAGGGGAGCAACATGGGGGAGAGTGTCTGGGGGGAATGTCCCCTTGGACTGGGAATTACGGAGAGGCCTCTCTGAGGAGATGATGTTTGAGCTGAGACACAAGTGCCAAGAACAAGCTAAGCATGCTCCAGGGAAAGACTAATCACAGGGAGGGAGTGACATGTGTCAGGTGCAGAGGTGACAGAGGCGGGAAACAACGTGGCGCATTGATGAACAGCCAGAAGGCAATTGACGCTGGAGTGTGGTGGGCAAGGAAGAGAGAGGAAAGAGACGTACAGGTAAGTTGAGAGTGGAAGGCAGGCAGACCACAACAGCAGGTCATGATGAGGAACTCCACTTTTGTTCTAACTCTAAGAACTCATTGGAAGCAAGAGAATGGCTTAATATAATTTACACTTTAAAAACAATCACTCCCGGGCAGTCCCGATGGCGCAGCAGTTAAGTGCGCACATTCCGCTTTGGTGGCCCGGGGTTCGCCGGTTCGGATCCTGGGTGCAGACATGGCACCGCTTGGCACACCATGCTGTGGTAGGCGTCCCACATATAAAGTAGAGGAAGATGGGCACAGATGTTAGCTCAGGGCCAGTCTTCCTCAGTGAAAAAGGAGGATTGGCAGCAGTTAGCTCAGGGCTAATCTTCCTCAAAAAGAAAAAAAAGAGTAAGAGCAAGGAGGCCGGTTAGGAGGTTACTGCAGTCGTACAGGTGAGAGGTATTGGTGGCTCGGTCAGGATGGTGTGTGCTCTGCTCCAGGTTGCACAGTGGAACATGCACACTCTCCTCTCGTGATAGGTGTACGTAGCCAGGAAATGTTCAACGGCTGGACCAACATCTGTGGGTTGTAAATGTCTGTCTTCATGAGGGTGCAGACAAAGATTCTGTATCAAAGGGAGCCAAAGTATAGTGGCATAAACAAGGTAATTTACTTCTCTCACATAAGAGAGGTGAGCAGTCCAGGACATGGGGAGAGGCTGGCATGGGCAGCACAAAATGTTAGACTGAGGAGCACATCATCAACAGGAGGCTTTCATCTCCAGGTTCTAGATGGCTCCTCCAGTTCTTATCTCTTAGACAGTGGAAAGGTCGTTTGGGCGAAGGAATCCATACTCATCTTTCTTAGAGACAGGACTCAGAGTGGCACTTAGGTTCCAGCTACATCCCTTTGCTCAGAATTTAGTCACGCATCCACATCAAGCTGCCAGGGAGACTGGGAAATGTAGTCTCTAGATGGGTTGTGAGGTGCCCTGATAAAATTCGTGCATTCTAGTATTAAATAAAGGGAGAATGGATATTGGCGACAGCTCACAACGTGTGTCACAACATCTTCAGTTTATCTGCATAGACATCTGTTATGGGCTGAATTGCATACCCTCCAAAACTCCTATGTGGCAGCCCTAACCCTGTAGTACCCCAGACTGTGACTATACTCGGAGATGGGGACTTTAAAGAGGTAACTAGGTAACCTAGGTAACTAGGGTTAAATGAGGTCATAAGTGTGGGGCCCTAGTCCAATACGTCCTTACAAAAAAAGGAAGAGATACCAGGGATGTGTGCACACAGAGAAAAGGCCATCTAAGGACATGGAGAAGACAGCCGTCTGTTCCCAATGAGAGGGGCCTCAGGAGAAACCAGACATACTGGCATTTTGCTCCTGGACTTCCAGCCTTCTCGATAATGGTCATGAGGCAGGCTGTCCCAGTCCTCACTCCTCTATCCCTGCCCTTACCCCCAAACAGCTAATTGGTCTGGAGTGGAGAGAGTGGAGATAGTGAGAAAGTTTGAGTGGTTCACCATCTCTGCTTCCCAACCTTCTTGGAGCTCAGTTGTGTCCCCGCCTTTGAATTCTTTGAGACACCTCTGTATCCTCCAAATAAACACCCCCTTTCTCAAGTTGATATCTGCTACTTGCAACCAGAAGAATTCAACAGAGGAAAGAGGATTCCTGGAGATAAAAAATCTTTATCTAAAAAAGAAATTGATCTCTTACAATAGAATCTTCATGTCTGAAATGCGTGTGTTTTCATGAAGCAAAAACTGCAGGCTTTGTGAAATTCTGTTAAAATGTCAAAATTCTATATGTTCAATATCAACAATATTTTGTGGGCAACACTGAAACAATTTTAAAACATCTGATCGTTTAGAGTGTGTGACACAGTTTGTGATTGTTTGCTGAGCTTCATCATTGTTGTTATTTTTGTTTAGGAAACAGTCTAACAGAGGCTGAGGAAATTTACCATTTCATAAAGGGAAGGAAAGTAAGTCCTCTCCTGAAGCACAAGGAAGGGCTAGCGCAGCCAGATGACTCTGATAAGATTTCACTAAGGCTCATTTCTTTACCATTATTAATTATGAAACTGGTTTATGGAATGAGCTAAGTCCTGAAAGAAAGGGCTTTATCTTTCTCTCTAACCACTGTCTTATAGTCAGGTTTTGTTGAACCTCCCCCTGTCAGGATCTGTTTAGGATCTAGCCTGAATCTTGGGCAGGTCCCATATATTTTAGTGACATGTCTCATTTTAGTAATTGCACCTGTGTTTCAGGCATTAAAATGTCCACGTCAGTCCAATTTAACATCAGTCTCACACCTAATTCAAACTTCTGCTTGGCCCCTGCTCAGGCCTTTCTTGCAGTGAAGTGGGGAAGGAGTGTGGTCAGTTTCTTTACTCTTCCTCCATCTTCTCTGCCTTCTCTATATTCTGGATGTCCCCAGGCCACTGCAAGAGGAGAGTGTATTAGACAAAGAGGAGCAAATCTCCCTGCAGTTAACTGTTGGATAAGGCAGATAGGCCACCATGCCTCTGTCTCTTACTACGGCAGAGTCCAAATATTGGCTCTTTTCACAGATGCATCAGTGGATTATTTAGAGGCCTTGGTTGGATCCCACATTGCACAGTTCTTTGACACAAGTGGCACATTCTCTGGTTGACCTCTTGCAGCAACCCCCCACCATACACCTCTGCCCCATGACCCCATGGCCTCTCACCACTATAGTCCCCTTGCATAATAGGCTGCCTTTTAGCTGAGGCCCTATCATGACAACTCAAGCCCAGCTACCCTTCCCATCATCAACATGGCCCACAGGAAACTCACATACTTTTGCTGTGCCAGATAATGGAAGGGCAGGTTGCAATTGCTGCTTCCCTTCTCTCCTCATCTTACCATTTTGGGCTGATCAAGCCAACCTATCACCATCTGAATTCTTCAGGTGGGAAACATTCGTCCATTTATTCAACAAATATTTATCAAGCACCCATATTTGTCAAGCATCATTCACAAATGTCTCATTTACCTTTGGAAGAAATCCAAAGCAATCTCCCCACACGTGTAAAATCTCTACTAATGACTCTCCAATCACCCTTTTGAATCTAGTCTTCTGGAAATGGGTAATATGGGTTGATAGTCACTGGTCTCTTTCTGCTATTTCTTAGTAATTCCCCCCTGGCTATGTCTAACATCTCTTTTTTAAATGTGGTGGCATTTCCTGCCTTTGTCAGCTTTGAGGCATTAGCCAAAATTCTAAGATAGCCAGAAAAGCCCTATTCAATAACCAATTACAAATAAATTTGGCTCTGAATTTCCTTGGCAAGCAGACACATCCATGTCTTGGGCCTCAACAGCCAATGACTAAAGTCTATATTTCTCTCCATTTACATAAATGACTATGCCATGAGTCCCGATGGTTAATTGCATATTCATGTGGCAGCGTCCAAAATTTAATAAACTATTATTCGGATGTGAAGAAAAAACACTTCTTTATTTTCCATAACTCATCCAAATTTTTCCCAAGCCCCAAAATTGAACAGGATGACAAAGCTCACCCAGAGGCCAATGAGGAACCATAGGACACTCCAGGGACCACTGCATACTGTTCTGAGGTTGATTCTTTCCTTGCCGCCATGAAGTGCCATAAACTCCTGCTCACACAGAATCCATTTTGGAGAGGAGAGAGGAGAGGAAAGGTCCTTGAATGACTGATCACTTACTCGAAAGAGACTGTTTGAATGAGAAACAGAGTGGTTAAACCAGAAGAGACTGAGCTATCTGTAATTGGCAAGTTTGAGCACCACCTCGTCCTCCAGCATGGTTCCCCAGCTCAGTTCAAACAGTTTTCACTACTGAACCCGTGCAGATAATGGAGGCACAATCCAGACAATAACTTAAAACCATAGAGTTCATCAGATTTCAAGTCGACGGTTTCTTAAGTTAAGTTTGGTTTCCTGACTTGTTTTTTAAGTTTTCACATCATTGTTTTCAATGACTAGTGCTACTTTCATATTAAAAGCAGCTCTAATGTTAGCCCAAAAAAGTCCACGTTTGCTCTTCTCCTTGGGCCATTCCAAATAAGTCCTCTGTGTCATGAGAGCCCTGAGCTTGTGATACTTGCTGGGAATGTTGTTCTGTGGAATGGGTTCCAGCAAGATCAGGATTAAGTTATCAGATCCTTCATGAAAGAGATTGTGGTGGGCAAAGTAGAGTTCATAATGGCACCACTCACTCTGAACAAAATTGGGAGACAAAACAAAGATGGACTTGTAACTTTTCTCAATGCAGTTTATGATATTTTCCACAATGCTCTTGCCAGGAACAAAGTTTCTCTCATGGAGACAAATCCGTATATCTTCTTTTTCTAAGCAAGGTACTAGTTCATTCTTCACCCAGGCAGAATCACGTTCACTGTATGAAATAAAAGCATGGAACTGGAGAGTTCTTTGGAGTTCTTCTAAGGGTATGTTCCTAGCCCTGCGCCGGGTCTGGGTCCACTGACACACCATCCTGAGATACCAGGGCAGATCCAGGTAGATACAGAGGATGCTCACAGTAACAGCCAACACCAGCACAGGGACCACAATGGTGACAACAAGCAGAGCTGTGTTGCAGGATAATTGAGACAGATGAAAGTCCTTTAGTGGGGTTCCCTTATAGCTTTCTGGATACTCACACTTATAAGAATCAGGCCAACCCTCTACCACATCACTTGATACTTGGCCTATACTTTGGATAAATTCTCTTAGCTCACACGTACATTGGAATGGATTGTTCCCTGCTTTTATTGACCTAATCTTCTGGCAACTGTGGAAGAAATCGGCTGATGGGTCGGAAATTAAATTATAGTCAATGATCAGTATAGAAAGGCTGTTAAAGGCACCACATCCAGGAAGGTCGGCTAAAGAATTGAAAGCAACATTGAGTACTTGCAGGGCTTCCAGGCTGGTGATATCTTTAGGGATGCTCCTTATTCTGTTATTGTGAAGATCAAGTACCTTGATCCTGGGAGGTAAACATCTGAAAACAGAGTCAGTAAGTATATTTGAAGACAAATTTAACACCACTAGACTCTCAACCCAAGGGCAATTTCCATCAGGTCCATGATATTCCAGAGAATTCCAGCTAACATCCAGTATTTCCAAAGATGGCATATTCTTAGTCATGAGGCCTACTTTGAAAAGATCTTTTAATTCGTTCTTTTGTAAGATAAGTGTCTCCAATCTAACTAAAGTGGAACAGTTTTGAAAAATACTATCTGTGAAAACATTCTGGGTAAAGTTCAAAAACTTAAATGTGCTCGGTGCCTGAGGACAAACCATATGTATAAAAGGTGTATCTGATATGGTTAACATCATAATGTTCATCTCAGAAAACACTGTGTACAACACTTGCTGTGAAAAAATATAAACTCTGTTTGTAATATGTTCTATTTTCAATGCTTTCAATGCCGTTTTAGAATAGGTAAAATCTTCTTTACCAATGCTTTTAACTATTGTTAAATTGCAAATATGGAGAGATTCTACAGGTTTGGGCCAAAGGAATTGAAAAACTCTAACCAAGCATTTCCATGTTGTTTCCACATGGTTGAGGGTAATATTCAGTAGGGTTGGCTGTCTAATGGGGTCTGACAAAAATTTAATCAAAACTTGACAGTTGTCATCATTCAATTTAATATTAGTCAGTTGTAAGCACCCTAAACTATTAAGTGATATGTTCACTTGGACAGAGAATAAATTATATGGGTGGAAAACAAGCTGAAGTGTTTTTGTATTTGGAATTTGAAGACTTTCTGTCTGGTTTTCTTTCACATAATAACCTTCTAAATCAAGAAGGATGCAACTTAGATGCAAGTGAGCAATTGGTAGCAGATCTAATTGCTGTAACCTTGTAGCACTTAATCCCAAGAAATCCAGTTGAGTCAAGTTGCCAAATTCCTTACAAATGGGCAGGACTTCAAAGTCATTGAATGAGAGATCTAAATGCTTGAGACTCATGATAGGATGGCAGGAAATCTTCTGCAACTGATTGTGAGATAAATCCAAATATTCTAAATCCGGGTTGAACTTGAAAATACTAAAATCAAGGTACCGGATGCTATTACGGGAAAGTCTCAAGACTTTCAGCCCTGAGAGAAAGCTCATGTCAGACAGGTGAAGCTCAGATATGCAGTTTTGAGACATGTCTAAGACCTTGGTTTCTGGTGGCAAGTCTTTCAGAACATGAGTAAGGCCTATTTTTGACATGTCTACTGCAAATTTACTTTCATCAGAGAATTGGATTATGGTTCCAACTATTAAGGTCACGATGTAAACAAAATTAAAGATTCTAACAACACATTTGTTGTCTTTGGTCATGATGTTCAAGCGGTAGTCCCTCAAAGGGTTGTTGCTGTTCTTCAGAGCATCTTGATACGCGTCCAAATTCTAGAAATATAATATACATTAAGATGTATAAAGACTGGATGATTGCTCTCAAACTTCCACTTACTAACACAAAATCTCACTGATTCCCTCATTTACTTTCAGAGTCATTTCTTCCCCATAATTTAATGTGGTGTTTTTCCCAGTTGTGCAGCCTGCTAGGCGGAGGCAATACAGACCTCATTATCAAGAATTGCGGTTGTGTGTTTTAACCCATCTGGTGGCTTTCTGAGGGATCCACTCAGCAGCTTGCCTTTGTTTCATGCCCCTCAGAACTTTCTCAGGGCTAGAACAGCCTCCCCGGCAGTGTTTGCTGAAAACCTTTAAAGGTAAATATACTAGCCACAGCTGCCTGGAGCAGGGAATAACAGATGGGACAAGCAGCAGACACACCAAAAAGCCAGAGAAGGAAGAGGCTGGGAAAGGAGATACATGGGAGAAAAGTCTTTGGAAAGCTCCACGTACGAGGGAATCTTGGAAGCCACACACATGCCCAGGGCTGGAGGCATGCTCAGAAAAGACATGCATGCTGAGAAAATATTCAACTTTCACCTCTAGCTAACTTTTAGCTTCTGTACAAGCAGAATGTGAAGGCCAAGGAAGAGTTATAAACAGCCTGGGTCAGCATTGAAGAAGAGCTTCAGCACAGAGCCAATCTGCCAAGATCAGGAGTTTTGTTTTTGCTTTGTTTTATTTTATCTCAGAGTATTTAAGAAAATCTCCACTGGGGCTGGCCCGGTGACACAGTGGTTAAGTTCACACGTCCCGCTTCTCACCGGCCAGGGGTTTGCCAGTTCAGATCCCAGGTGCAGACATGGCATCGCTTGGCAAGCCATGCCGTGGCAGGCATCCCACATATAAAAAGTAGAGGAAGATGGGCATGGATGTTAGCTCAGGGCCAGTCTTCCTCAGCAAAAAAGAGAAGGATTGGCAGCAGATGTTAGCTCAGGGCTAATCTTCCTCAAAAAAAGAAAAAAAAAGAAAATCTCCATCAAGTCACTAACTGACCACTAAGTTAATGGAACAGAGAATTTGATGGCTATACACAACAAAGAATACAGTTTTTATAAAAATAGTTTAGAAAAGTTACTAAACAAACAACCAACCATACCCCACAATAAACAGCAACAACAAATCCTGGGAGAGAGGATAATCTGAGTTACCATATTATAATATTCAAAATGCCTGCTTTAAACAAAAGAACTATGAGGCATGCAAAGAAATAAGGAAATATCGACCATTCATGGGGAAAAAATAAATTAAAAGAACAAAGTTAGAGAACTGACACTACCCAATTTCAAGACTTACTATAAAGCTACAGTAATCAAGACAGTGTGTTATTGGCCAAAGGACAGACAGATCAAAAGACCAGAACAGAGAGCGCAGAAACAGACCCACACAAATACAGTCAACTGATCTTTGACAAAGGAGCAAAGGCAATTTCCTGAAGAAAGGATAGTCTTTTCAACAAATGGTGCAGCAACAGCTAGACATCCGCATGCAAAAAAACAATGAAGGTCTAGAGACAGACTCTACACTTTTCATAAAAATTAGCTCAAAATGGATCACAGAGCTACATGTAAAATGCAAAACTTTAAAACTTCTAGGGAATAATAGAGGAGAAAATCCAGATGACCTTGGGTTTGGTGATGGCTTTTTAGATACAACATCGAAAACAGAATCCATGAAAGAAAAATTAAGCTGGAATTCATTAAAATTAAAATTTTCTGTTTTACAAAAGACACTGTTAAGGTAAAGAAAAAATAAGCTACAGACTGGGAGAAAATATTTGTAAAACATATATCTGATAAAGGATTTGCATCTAAAATATACAATGAACTTTTAAACTCAACAATAAAGAGAACAAACATCACAATTTCAAAATGGGAAAAAGATCTGAACAGATACCTCACCAAAGAACATATACCAATGGAAAATAAGCATATGAAAAGATACTCAAGGGCCCGCCCCGTGGCCCAGTGGTTAAGTGCGCGCGCTACACTTCTGCAGCCCAGGGTTTCGCCAGTTCGGATCATGGGCACGGACATGGCACCGCTTGTCAGGCCATGCTGAGGCGGCATCCCACGTGCCACAACTGGAAGGACCCACAACTAAAATATACAACTATGTACTGGGGAGATTTGGGGAAAAAAGCAGGAAAAAGAAAAAGAAGAAGATTGGCAACAGTTGTTAGCTCAGGTGCCAATCTTTAAAAAAAAAGAAAGAAAGAAAGAAAAGATACTCAATATCATCAAGGTCATCAGGGAATTGCAATTAAAACAACAAAGAAACACCACTATGCACCTATTAGAATGGCCAAAGTCCTGAACCATCAAATGTTGGTGAGGATATGGAGCACCAGGGATTTTCATTCATTGCTGGCCAGAATTCAAAATGGTACAGACACTTTAGAAGACAGTCTGACAGTTTCTTATAAAGCTAAACATAGTCTTACTATATGATCCAGGATTCACACTCCTAGGTGTTAAGCCAAATGTAACGAAAAATCTATGTCCACCCAAAAACCTGCATGTGGATGTTTACAGCAGCTTTATTCATAACTGCCAAAAACTGAAAGCAACAAAACATCCTTCAATAGGTAAAAAGATAAAGATATATGGTACATCCACATAATGGAACATTATTCAGCAACAAAAAGAAATGAGCTATCAAGGCACAAGAAGTCACAGAGAAACCAAAATGCATATTGCTAAGTGAAAGAAGCCAGTCTGAAAAGGCTGTCAACTATATGATTCCAACTCTATGACATTCTGGAAAAGGCAAAGCTAAAGAGCCAAAAATAAAAAAAAAAAGCAGTGGTTGCCAGGGGTTAGGGGGAGGGAGGAAGGAATAAGCAGAACACAAAGGATTTTGGGAGCAGTGAAACTATTCCATATGATAGTGTAATGGTGGATATATGACACTGTGCATTTGCCAAAACCCACAGAACTATACAACACTGAGACTGGATCCTAACGTAAAGTATGGACTTTAGTAATAATAATGTCCATATTGATTCATCCATTATAACAAATGTGCCGCACTAAAGCAAGACGTTATAATAGGGAAAGCGGTGTGCAGTGGAGAGGGGGTACATGGGAATTCTCTGAACTTTTTTTTTTCAACTTTTCTTTAAACCTAAAACTGCTCTAAAAAAGAATGTCCATTAATTTGGAGAAAGAAGAGACGTCAACAGAAATGGTCTCTGAAGAAGTGCAGGCATTGACTTACTAGACAGAGACTTTACATCAACTGGATTAAAAATTAACTACATGACTATGATCTTTTCTCTCTGGACTCAGAGAATACTTTATTCTCTTTTAAAGATCAGTCCTTTAGGGGCCGGGCCGGTGGTGCAGCGGTTAAGTTCATACATTCCACTTCGGCGGCCCAGGGTTCATCAGTTCACATCCCCAGTGAGGATCTACGCACCGCACCACTTGTCAAGCCGTTCTGTGACTGGCGTCCCACATATATAGTAGAGGAAGATGGGCACGGATGTTAGCTCAGGGCCAGTCTTCCTCAGCAAAGAGGAGAGTTGGCGGCAGATATTAGCTCAGGGCTAATCTTCCTCAAAAAACAATAAAGACCAGTCCTTTTGTCCCCCCAAAATGTGATACCAGCCAGTTTGATAATCTAAAATTGTACAAAAGGGCAAGCAAGAAGCTCTTCACCGAAACCTCAAGGCATTCTCAAGAGTCTACATTAGTATTCAATTTGGCACTAAACTCAGTCATCTGCAGCAACCAGTGACCCATGAGTGAAGGGTTAAAAACCCCATTTCCCTCCTTCTCCATGGACTAATCTGACCTAGCATCAACTTTCTAGCTCTTTTCTGAAAACGTGATACATGTAGAATGTTAATTATGTTACCGGAAAACCGTTATGTACAGTGAAAATGACCCTTGAACGGTAAATAACATTCAGGCTGAAAGGACTATGTGTGAACTATAATACCAGGTAGGAAACTCCTGCTATGCTTCCTTTCCTATATCTCTCTGAGAAAGCTGGGACCAACTGTGGTCTATTAAGACTTGTGAGTCTGAATGTTTAGATGAGCCTGAGAAGAAAACCTTTTGTCTGGCATTGCAGAGTCATGACAGCAGTGGGCTTGACTTTCAGATCCTCAACTCAATTTGGCCAAGGCAACATGAGATGAAAGAGATGGGGAGGAAGGTGGTTGACAAGACACTGAGGCCTGATTAGAAGGCCCAACCACCTGTGGCTTGATGATTAAAGCTCTCTGGTATATGCCAGGGGATAAATCCTTTTGTGAGGGTGAATGAGGGTTGGAACAAGACCAAGTTTGTGTCACATGGAAAAACTACCTACTCACTTCACCTCCATGGATTGGACATCACCAAAACCAGCTGTAGCTGGGCTGGCAGAGATGATACCACCATTCATGGGGCCATTTGAGAAGATACAAATAATATAGGCCAAACCAGGCATTGACGACTGGCCAAGGGGTAGAAGCAGGTACACCAGCCTAGAGACCCCATGTTTGTGACGGGACAAAAGGATGGGACTAAAATTGTGCAAAAGGTCAAGCAAGAAGCCAGTCCAGGAAACTCAGACATAAACTCATGAGTCTACACCGTTTGGCTCTGATCCGCACAGAAAAGCATCTATGAGCCCTCCACAGGGAACAAAAGCTGGCAAGGCCAGACAAGGCTCCATGGTCACCTAACTCCCACAGCAACATCATAAGAGCAGCAATGGAAGCTGTGATGGCAACATGGCAGCATCCTTGCACCTACACAAGAGGGCCCACAACCACATTTGCCTGGAGCCACCTACAGGTAGAAGTTAGAAGTGCTCTTACAAACTAGCAAGGGGTGTAGCCGCCCCTGACGCAGGAAGGGTTAATAATCACTGGAAAAGGCTTGCCAACAAACTGTGACCCAGAGGTGAGAAGGCCGGTCAGCCAATGACGGGTAAGACCTCCAGGAGGAGGCAACCTAAGCCAGGCGTGGTCGCCTGGGGGCACAGATGGAGACACT